ACGATACAATACGAGGTGAGGATTATCAAGACACGCCAGGGCACAGGGACAGCAAAGATGGAGATAGAGGCCTTCTCCACCCTCAAGAGGATGAGGGAGACGAGGATACGAAGGCATTGCTTCCGGGGTCGCAGGAAGCAAGATAAGGGGTGCCGAGTAATGTCTTGGAGTTTACTTGGGTCGACTTGGGTATCGAATCACTTTTTGGATTACGACCGGATGAAGTCAGGTCAGGGATAATGCATATACCCAATTTCTGTCTAGTTATACATCCACGCGTTTTGGAACCCTTTCATCTCCCAACTCTTTTCTTTCAGCCATCAAGGCCCTTTCGTTCTCCTGACTCCCAACCCCTTCCCTACACGCACGTCAGCTGAATGATACCCCTCCGCAACAGGACATGAAAGAAACAGAAGACTCACATCTCAACCTCCCAACCCACTCCGCCCACCTAACCACCTCCTCTTCCGCCATCAACAGTTCTACCGTATAGTACTTCCTCGCCAAATCCTCATGGTTCGCAAACTGATGCACAAACCGATGACAAGCTCCACATAACCACGCGACGTTCTGCAGCTCGTCCAGTCGGTGCCAGCCACGCTTTACTACTTTTGCATGCACAAAGCGTGGGATGAGATGGTGATAGGATAGATTGATCCAATCGCGCTGGCAGATCTCGCAGGCCGTAGTGGTTGCTTTTGTAGAGGCGGGAGAGGGAGGTGGAGCGGTGATGGTGGTTAGGTAGGACGTTAGGATTGGCGCCAGCAGGTCGGGTAGGGAGATTAGGGGGGTGGAGGAGGAGAGCGTGGAAGGTAGGGGGGTGTTGTCCGTGGTGGTGATAATGGAGTAGGCGAGGAGCGAATCCGGGATTGAGGGATCGAGAGGGTAGAGGAGTGGTGAGGTGGTTTCAGCAGTCAGGGGAAGTGGGTAGGTAGATTGGAGGGAGGGAGTGGTGGTCCAGATGTGGTGGGTGAGTGTGCGGAGGGGGACGCGCAGGGTAGTAAAGATAGAGGTGGCGACGTAAGTGATGAAGTCGGAGAGATCGTCGGCGTCGGAAGGGGTGGTGGGGGCGGGTTCAGTGGATGCGGAAAGGGGTTGTTTCTTTTGTTTGGACCGGCGAGAAGATTTGGATTTGGCGGCCTTGGCTGGGAGTTGAGAGAGGCGTTGAACGAGAACGACGGAGAGTGTGTCTCGGAAGGTCTCGTAGTTGGAGAACTCCTCGTCCGGAATGTGGATTGACATGATCGTGAGTGGTTGATGGCGACAATATTTGGTTGAGGTTTCAGAACTTGTTTTGGTGGTTTTGAACTAATGTTCAAGTATTGAAATATATGAGCCGATTTTAATAAACTACATTGACACCAGGCGTTGCGCTGAAGCTCAATGTGTTAGCATTCCCGAAGACTTGCATCAAGCGGCTGGTCCCGCACAAACGTCACCGCTCTGGCTCGCCGATTGGAGATTATGACGGCCGCGCGGGGTTCCGGGGTTGGAGACGCCGGAAAGTCGCTCAGTGAGTCAACCGGCCACCTTCCGGCGTCCAAATGCAAACATGGCCAGCAGCAAAACCGTTGTCGCGTTTGATCTGTATGGCACATTGCTTTCCACCGACTCTATCGCGACTGAGCTAGCCAAGCTCTTCGGCGATGACACAGCCAAATCACTCGCCGCGTCGTGGAGGCGGTACCAGTTAGAGTATACGTGGCGCATCAACAGCATGGGTGAGCACCCGGGCTAGAGCTCTCTCTCTCCTTGTCGACGGTGAACTGATTCAGTCGGTAGGTCTATATCGGACTTTTAGCGAGATCACTCGGGGCGCGCTGCATCATGCTATCGCCGAGGCAGGGCTGTCGGTCACCAATGATGACGCAGACAGACTGATGAATGCGTATAACGGGTTGAATGTATTCCCTGATGTTCCGGAGGCGCTAAAGACGGTGGAGAAGACACCAACTATCGAGGCGCTCATCTTTTCAAACGGAACCGATGAGATGGTCTCGGCTTCGGTGAACACATCTCCGCATTTGCAAGCCTACGCCGCGCTGTTCAAGGGGCTGGTTACGGTGGATGGAATACGGGTGTTCAAACCTGACAAGAGGACATACGATCATTTGCTCCGAGAAGTTGAGAAGCAAGACGCCCCGGGCGACGCCTGGCTTGTCACGGCGAATCCGTTTGACGTTGTGGGTGCAGCCGCGGCGGGGCTCAAAACTGCCTGGATTGATCGCGCGGGGAAGGGATGGGTGGATAGGTTGGGCGATGTCATCGGCGGCTTAAAGCCTACACTTGTGGCGTCTGGCGTTGATCAAGCGATCGAGGGAATTGCCGGGCAACAGAATGACTGAATGGGGATGTCGTGGGAGAGGAGCTGGTTGAAGGCTGAGGTCACCGGGTCACCTCATCACTGCAATTTTAGCTCTGAGAGAGCCCGTGAGAGGCTAAGGTTGCGTAACACCAAAAACCCGGGTCTAAGGGGTAGAACCAGTTGCTTCGCAGCTCGGATTGAGACTATCGCGCTGTTTACCTCGCAGGATGTGTTCATTTGCTTCCAGTTGAACCGGAAGGATGGTGATTGTAGTTCACCGCATTCCAGGTTTGGTTCGGACCGCAGCCAACGGCTGACAGCAGTGGGTCCAAGCCCATCAGCCCTACCGACCAGCAGCCACTTCAGCAGCCACATGATTGGTGGGGTTGAACTTCGACAGGCGATTTGTGCAACGCCAGCGTGCTGGCGCAGCCCCGGTTAAGCGGCAGGCCTCGATCTCTGGCCAACCCGGAATGGAACGCGCCAAGCCAGCTCTGCCTGGATGTGACGTACCCTCCTGGCGCTTGGGCATGTGAACACACGACGGACAGCCTCGCTGGAATTTCGCCTGGGATTCTCTGTCTGGATTTACAAGAACGAAGGGTATCGCAGACATGCCCAACGCCTAGACATGAGCTTGACACTCTACTCGATCGCATCTCTCGGCACTGTCGTTGCTGGACTGCTCACCATGGCAGGTCTTGGGTCGTTTTGGCGGAAGAAGTCGATGTCGGCCAGCATAAATGCCACGAAATTCGTCGGATCGCAGATCGGCGGCAAGTCGGTGATCAACTACAGCTACACCGACATGCCTTGGAAGCTGATAGCGTTCGACGTGTACTACTTCTTCATTTTCATCTGGGCGCTTCCTCATATCTTGTTTCCTATTACCCCTGCCGACTCAGGGGATCTTGCCGAACTGTCACTCACCCGTGGGAACCTGTTCTGCATCGCCGTTCACTTCGTGCTTTGTATTCTTCAGCTGGGCTTCATCCTTTCCCTACCGCTGATGATCCTGTTGCCCATATGGACGGCTGTGCTGGCTATTGCTCTCTTCTTCGTTGTCAACCACGGGCTTTGCATGTTGATCAACGGCAAAGTGGTTGAGTACCACTCTGATCCAAAATACGCATCAGCGTTGCCTGAACACGCCCATGAACAGTGGGTATTTATCAACGGGGTGGCTGCAGGGTAGGTGTTGCACAAGTTCCCACGAGTATCACCAACTGACTGAGACAGGGAACACTGGATGCAGAATAATCTAAACCGGCTGGCTCTCACCTTCAAACGGCCCATTCTCGGCATCCATAACAAGACGTAAGAATGCGCTCTTCTCTTATTCGCAAGGTGTTAACTTACTCGCAGGGCGGGCATCATATTTGACGTTGTTGAATGTCTGGTGCAACGCAATCTTGGGTTCGCAACCACAGATGTGCGCGTGTGTTATCGCATCATCAAGGAAAAGCTGTACAATCCGCAGTACTCCAAAGTTATCTTCGTCCTACACTCGCAGGGCGCCATCGAGGGCTCTCTAGTTCTCGACTGGCTTCTTCAGGAGTTGCCCCAAGATCTACTATCGAAACTAGAGGTCTACACGTTTGGCAATGCCGCAAACCACTTCAACAATCCGCATCGCCACGTCCATTCACAAGATATCGCCCTCAACAACCCCGTCGCTGCATCGCTGGACTCAGCACCTATCCTCCGGACTCCCTCCCCCAAGCCCCACGCCTCAGAATCCAAAGGCCCTCACACCCACAAACCCAACCACAAGAAACCCGCCACTTCCAGCTTTTCTGTCATTCCCACGCTCTCCTGGGAAACCTCGTCTTTCTCCCCCTCGAAAATCTCGGGCCGCGCGATCGGACATATTGAGCACTACGCTCACACCACCGATTTTGTTGCGCTCTGGGGTGTCCTCCATTTCACATCTTCTACGCCCGGAAGTCACAGCATGCCGCGATTCATCGGGCGAGTCTTTGCGCGCACTAGCCCCCGCGGCGGCCACCAGCTGGTTCAGCATTACCTGGACGGGATGTTCCCGCTGGAGAAAGGCCAGACAAACCCGAAAAAGTTCACCGGGTGTCAGGAGGAGGGGAACGAGTTTATGGAGAGCGAGATTGTGATTGGCGCAGAGGGGAATGAAATGGACAGTGTGCGCGAAGCGATGGATGTCAGTTGGCTTGCGAGAGGCGGAGAGAAGGATGGCGAAGGGAGGGAGGTGGAGATTCACGGCGGGAGCCCGGTCGAGCAGAAGGGGAGGTTTAGAAGTCGGACGGGAGCAGTGGAGGCTGATGGGAGGAGGGTGACGAGGGTGAAAGTGAAGGAGCTGAGCCGGTTGTGGCAGTACCGCAATGGGAGGAGCCCAGAGGAGAAACCGCCTTTGTTGGTTAGAGACGGGGAGGGTGTTGTCAGGACTGCGACCCTCTGATGGAAGGGGTGAAGTTGGATATCATTTGGCTATGTAACTTGGTTCTGATAGTTGAGAGGAGTGAACTTGGCAATTGAGAACTAGCAAAATGGTCCAAAAACACAGCCACAAAAAGGGGCGCTGTCAACCCGAGTCATACATGCACCCCGCTCCACAAAGTCACATTCCCACAACACTCCGCCTAATGCAGCACATGCCACGTCAACCATACCTAGGCTCAAATTGCGCCCCGTCTTTCCAACGCAGGTAATCCCCTGAAACAAAGGACCGGTAGCTCAGTGGTAGAGCAACCGGCTGCAGTGCCTTCGCACCTGACAGTGTATCGCGCCTTCCGGTAGGTCTCGTGTTCAACTCACGATCGGTCCTTATTTTTTTGCCATTATCCAGATCTACCACCCGCTCAGACAATTACCATTATTTGTGGAATGATGAATGGAAACGGAAGTGCTCTCAATGCCCCTGAATCCCCGCAACAAAGCGCAAGCTCAAGGTTAGGGTTGATACAGTACCCCGAGCTCCCCAGCTCCGGCTAGCGCGATAAGATAACAACTTTTTTTTTTTTGGCCTTCACCTCCCTCTGCGCTTCACCACCCCGCCAGTCTCAGCAAGCAGCTCCTTTCCAATTGCATCCCCACCACCACCGCCGCAATCATGGCCAAAAACAGAAAATCCAAACGCCAGCTAATCCGCGACGAAAAGCGCGCCAAAAAACGAGGCCGCGACCTCGAAGAACCCGAACCCTCTTCCAAGCGCCAGCGCCGCGACCCCGACCTCCCCGAGTCCGCCGATTACATTCCCCTCGACGATGACGAGGCCGAAGCCGCAGGTCCCCGGGGTGCAGGCGGCGGCAAACACTTTGAGCGCGAGTTCTTCGGCATGCTCGAGGACCAAGAGCAGGAATACTTTCGGCGCGCGGACGAGCTGCTCGAGCTGAACGATTTCCCTTCGGAAGAGGAGCGTGAGATCTTCTTGCAGAATGTTTACAGGGAGGCACAGGGCAAGGAGTTGAAGTTGGCGAGTAGTCAGTCTTGCTCGCGGCTGATGGAGAGGCTGGTGTTGTTGTCGAGCACGAAGCAGAAGAAGCATTTGTTTCAGGCGTTTGCGGGGCATTTCATCAGCTTAGTGACGCATCGGTTTGCTGGGCACTGTTGCGAGAAGTTGTTTATGCTGTCAGCGGAGGCGGTCACGAAGGGGTTGATGGGGGAGGGGGAGGGGGAGGGGGAGGGGGAGGGGAGGATCGAGGGTGGGGAGGTGGATGTGGAGCCGCAGCAGCCGATGGAGGAGTTGTTCCTGTTGACGCTAGATGAGCTGGAGGAGCATCTGCCGTATTTGGTTTCGGACCGGTACGGCTCGCATGCGTTGAGGGCATTGTTGATCACGCTGTCGGGGCGGCCGTTGAAGCAGGTGGGGACCAGGTCGTTGCTGCAGAGCAAGAAGAAGGAGTATATTACGGTGGATGGGGCGTCCGGGCTGAGCGGCGAGTTTGCATCGCAGGTCAGGGCGGTGCCGGAGTCTTTTGGGATTGCGGTGCAGAAGATCATCACGGATTCGACGGCGGGGTTGGATGCGACTGCGCTAAGGGTATTGGCAAAGCATCCAACGGGGAATCCGACGCTGCAGCTGTTGTTGGAGCTGGAGTTTGAGATTTCGGCAAAGGCGAAGAAGAGCGCACCGAAAGCGAAGAAGAAGAAAAAGGGGGAGGAAGAGCAGGAGGTTGAGGAGCAGGAGCGGGGCCAGGAGCAAGCCGAGTCTCTGCTTGAGAAGCTTGTCCCTAGCGCGCCGGCTTCGTTCAGCGATGAGAAATCACCAGCAGCCGAGTTCGTCAACAGCATGATGTACGATGTGGTCGGTTCGAGACTTCTCGAGACTCTGATCACGAATTGCCCGGGCAAAATCTTCAAGGGGCTTTTGGCTACCTTTTTCGCCCCTCGGATCCAAAGCCTTCTCCGCAACGATATCGCATCGTACCCAGCGCTCCGAGTTCTCCTCCGACTCAGCAAAGAGGACCTTGCGGATGCGGTGGAGAAGTCGCTCCCGCATATCCCAGACTTCGTTCAGAAGGGTCGCTTTAACGTCATCAAGACATTCTTCGAGCGGTGCCACGTACGACAGGCGACCCCACAACTCAATTCACTCCTACAAGCACTCACTTCTGCACTGGGCAACGACCACAAGCACTTTATCCCCAAGCTCTGCCTAGATGACAAACCACCTGCGGATGGCGACAAGAAGGAGAAGTCATTTCAGCCAGCAGAAGTCAAGAGCAAGTCCGCTCTGCTCTCTCACGCGAGCCAGCTTGTCACAGCGCTCCTTGGCATCCCGGGCTCGCCATCCAAAGCCATACAAACTTCCATCACATCCCTTTCCTCTGCTCAGCTTCTCAAGCTAGCAACCGAGTCAGCCTTCAGCTCGGCCATCCTGGTCAAGGCCTTCTCGACGTCCTCGCAAAATCCCAACTTCCACAAGGTCCTCGTCGCCTCTCTTCTCCCCCATGCACACGAGCTGGCCACGAATCAGCACGGCTCGCTGACCATCAACGCAATCATCGCTGCCCCCTCCAAGGGCGACGGTATTTCGGTTCCATTCCACGCCAAAGAGAACATGATGTCCCAGCTCGAGCATCACGAACGGGATCTCCGCGAGACGTGGGTCGGCCGTAGTGTCTGGAAGACCTGGAAGGGCGACTTGTGGAGCCACAGGAGACACGACTGGGTGCGGTGGGCAAAGGAGACCGACCCCGAGGCAGCTCGGGTGGCTGCTACTCCCAAGCCCAGGGCGAAGGAGGAGGGCAGAGAAGAAAAGAAGGCCAACACAAAGGGGAAAACATTCGACGTGAAAGAGGCTAAAAAGATAGCTGCTGCTGCTGCTGCTGCTTAGAAAGCAGGGTTTGTGTGATATGATACCCGTGAAGAGGCAATATGCATATACGGTAGTTTAGTACTGGAAGTAGAAAAACAGTGATATCCTGATCCTCTTTATATCCTTTCCCAGACAGTGTGAAGCTGTCCTTGTCGATTACAGGTTGAAATCAGGTGTTGTCGTTACAGGTTCTTGCTCCCTGTTGCTGTGGGGATCCATGACAATATCCTGAGTTGTTCGCTGCTGTGAAAGCCAGGTCTTTAGACCACACAGGCAAGGTTCCATTCTCTCTGCCTTTGAGGCTCGTGATGAGTAGCAGATGGTCCATCTGTAGCTCTGGAGACCTGTCCGAACCGGAGAGAGCATCTAGTCCTGGCCGATGCCTAGGTATGGGGGGTGTGGCTGTTGCCTTTTAGCTTTGGATGATACAGTGCGATCAAGCCGTGTGTGAGATTCGTGGTGTTGATCGCACTGGGGGAGGTTAAGCTTGTCTTTCCGGCGGCAATAGCGTTGGGGAGTTGCCTTGCTTGTGCCCAGCCAAAGGATGGCTTTGATGAGGCTCGTGGCAGTGTTTCCCCGGGTGAGGGCAGCTCAATACTGTTTTCTTTGAATTTGCTGAAGGGGAGTTCTGTTATGTGTGACAAGAGATACACCTGAGCGGGGCCGCACGGCGAAGCGAGGTCAAGCACGCCTTTGGGTGAGAAGGGGGTGAGCGCTGGGAAATTAGACTCATTGGTCTCCCTTGATTTCTAAGAAGCTTGAAAGAATGCGGTTGAACGCGTCCTCTGATTCAGGACTTGCGCCATGCTGAATGAGTGCCGTTCTCCACCAGTGTGGATTGGTAAACTCCATTATCACTCAGGGCATGGATTGGTAACTCGCAACATGTATATAGAGTCTAGAGACGAACTAGACTGAGTAAAGGGTACTTTTCTAGTTGAATGGTTGAACTAAAGCCTTCCTGGAAGGGTTCTGCGATCAAGAAGCCATTCCTTCTATCCGGCGCGACCTCCTGAAGAAAACCCGTAAGTCCCACGCGCTGGAGCGCGATTATTTCGTGTCGGTGGTGATCTCCAGATTCTGACTGTTGCAGAATTGGTTATTTCTTGAGGCTTCGGATCCCGATTGCTTCCTCTTCTTCTTCTTTTCCTCCAGGCATCACACACCCACTTCGCTGCCCCCGCTCGTCTCCCCCCCAGCCTTTACCGTAAGTCCGACCCTCTCCTGCCCATCAAGACAGTCCCTTTCCCTCAGGCCGCGCCAACATCTCAAGACCTCGTCGACGTCGAGAACTTCGCTGTGTGCTGACTTCTTGCCTTTAGAAAAAAAAAAGTCCACCACTCTCCGCGCCGCTACCCGCGCCGCCACCACCACCCGCCCGCCGCCATGCCTCGGTCGGGGTAAGTCAACAATTCCGCGGCCTCCTCCGTTCTTCAAGACCTTAACTGACTCCGTTTCTAGCTACGACACCAGCGGCTTCGGCCGCAAGAAGCCGGCGTCCCCGGCGCCCCCGGCCAAGCCGGGAAAGAAGGGTGTAAGTCCAACTTTCTTTTCTCACAATCTCTTCTTCGTGCTATTCAGGCTCCTGTCCCTCTTCCAACTCTCCTCTCATCTGGCTCTATCGAGAGACTTTTTTCTGCAGTGCTTTTCCAAGCATGTCCTGTCTGTTTCTGTTTTGCTTTCTCTCGCGGGTCAACTTGTGTTGGGGACCTTGGAGACATCGATCTTCAAGGCAACACCCGTCCCCTTCCATCATCTATCTATTTTGCCTCACCTTTGGGTTGAAATAGATCTATTCCTGCTGTATAGTTTGTCTTCTAATTTTCCACTTGTATCTTTCCTGTTGTCTTGACATGTTCGGGTACACTTTGTCCTTGGTTCGCAATTGAGTCGGAATTTCTCGCCTCTGTTCCATTAGTCGCATTGTCTGGGACACTTCCCGCTGTTGAATATGAAATCTTGACTGTCCAATTTGTCCTTGAGCTTGCACTCCCGGTGCTGAATCCTCCTTCGCTACGCTCAATACTCCTTTGTTTGTCTGTCCTTTGAATGTGCTCACAAGCTACGCCCCGCCCGCTACCTTCATCCCGCTCAACGCTTCTGCTTTGCCGCATCATCCGCTTCAATCTGGAAACAAAAGTATGTCTTGGTTTCTTCCGTACTCGACGTTCATCATCAGCCTCACCTCCACCCCAAATTGCTCGACCGTCCCTAGCCATACTTCCGTTCAAAAACCCTCAAGACCTCTCGCTAACATACTCGCTAACATACTCGCTTGCAGTCTAAGAAGGAGCCGAAGCCGCCGGCCCCGCCCGCGCCGGCCGCACCTTCCTCCGGCGGCCAGGCCGGTGGTGGCAGCACCGCCGCCGCCTGAGCCTGCCCCCGCTCGCTCGCCCCGCCGCCTCCTCTCAACCTCCCGGTTGGCACCCCAACGCCGCCTGGCTTGTTTTTTTTTTCTTTTCATTAAAGAAAAAAAACAATCACCGAAAAAGTAGTTTACATTAATA